GTAAACCATACACGTCTTACCAATCGCCAGGTGTGGTAACCCCTCTTGTGATCAGTTGGTTTTGCTGATTGCGAATCGGCTTCGCATGAAGTTTCGATACTGCTTCACGACAGCGCCAAGACCTCATGACTTAGCTCTTCCATGGCCCATTCTCCGAGAGAGGGGGCCGGCGGCAGGGGGCGAAGCCCTTACGGATATTGTCGGGCGCATTCTTTACTCCCGCCACCTTCCGTCGCCCTTCGGCCTGCGTCCGCCAGCGGAGGCGGCCTCGTTTTACTTCCGCCGACCTTCCGCCGACTTCCGCCGGGGAAGAGGTGAGAACTCCTTCGATCCTCGAAGGGAAGGCCCTTTGTGGAACGCCTGACGTGTTGCCCACAGCACCGTGGTCAGCATCGGCTGCGCGCGTGGCGGGTCACCAGTGGGCGGCACGACTCTCAGCGAAGAGGCCGCCGCCAACCTCGCAAGACAAGCGAAGCCTCTGACGGTCAAGACCACGAAGTTGGCATACACACTGTGAAAATACTGGGTAGCGTGAACCCCTGACTACAGGGAATAACAAGACGAAGCCATGACGAAGATAAATTCGGGTGAAGATAAATCGAGAATCTCTGAGATCTGGCGGCTCTGGAAGATGTCTCGGGCGCTGCGGCCTTCTCAGAGCGTTCTGGAACGCTCTGAGAGCGTTCCGGATCGCTTTGGAACGGATTTATCCTCGTCCTAGCCCCGTCCGAAATAAATCAGCATCAAGCCAGAGCGAGCACCACATTAAGCTGAATGAGAACCACACCAGACAGGACTAGACCAAGGCAGGATCAGGCCAGATCAGGCCCGAAGAAACACTAGCGCCGATGCTGTATCTAAACTCCAAGGAGCTGCAGCCTAATCCTTCGGGGGACGTCAGCTGACCGCCTCCCCGATCCGATCCTGGCCTGGCCCGATCCCGGGCCAGAATCGGTGTACGTTCCTTCCTGGGCAAGTAAGGCTTACACACCGATCCCGGGCCCAGGATAGGCCTGCCCAGGAGCGGTGCGGGTGGTCAGTCGACGTCTCCCGATCGTTCTCCTCTACTCTCCCTTGGCATGGAGAAAACGGGTCCTGAAGGAAACGGGTGCTGGATCCCAGGGCTTGTCCGCAATATCAGCTCACCCTGGGGCGTTCTGGACGGCCCCAGGGTCCTGGGAAGGGCCCCAGGAGTCCGAGAATGTGGGGATCGTTCTCCTCTACGCTCCTTTGGCACGGAGAAAGCGGGTCCTGAGGGAAATGGGCGCTGGATCCCAGGGCTTGTCTGCGAGATCAACTCACCCTGGGTCGTTCTGGACGGCCCTAGGCCCTAGGTTCCGGGGAAGGGCCCCGGGAGTCCGAAAACGGAGGAAGACCTCCAGGACGGGCTTCCCTCAGGACCCCCCAAGCATCCGATGACATGACATCTTCAATGTGAGCAACGATCAAGAAGGGGTCTTACGCGAGATGGCATAGCGACCTTACGCGGTGACTTACGCGGGCCGCTCGCGCGGCACAGCACATTTGAAGCGAGGGCGCTTTCGCGCGACATTACGCGGGGAGCTTACGCGCCAATGTCGGCGCAGTTTGAGTATCGTTTAACCGATTCCCATCCCCAGCGGCGTGGCCTGGGCCCCACTGGCCGATTCACCCTACTAGACGGGGATATAGGTCGATCCCTGTGAGTTTCGACGGGTGTATCCCCAACTGGGGTGGTAATTTGCTGGGGGTCTCGAAGGGGATGGGGATGGGGATGGGGATCGGTCAAACGATGCCGACAGGTGGACCCGTTTGTTTTCGTCGCTCGTGTGTGGCCCCGGAGCACCCCGGGCTCCACCTGCTCCGGCCGCCTGAGGCCCCGCCTTCCTGTGCCCTGTCTCCTTAATTAAAGCTGCGCGTAGCCCGCCTAGCTTTTAGCGGAGGAGGTTCGCTCTCGCCCCGCAGACCAAAAAGTGTGGCCCCGGAGCTCCAGACCGCTCCCCGCGGGGGCAGCCTCTTCGATATCCCAGACCCATGCTCTCGATGGCCCCGGGGCCCGACGGCAGCCCCCGGGGGCCGACCCGAGGGCCAGCGCCGAGATTGACGAAGGTCGGGGATCTGCTGGTTGAGAAGCGAGGTGCGAGATGGAACACATCGGGAAAACACCGGATGAACCTCGGTGGATCGCAGCACAGAGGCTACTCTCAACACCTACAATACATGGATTCGGGTTGACCTGGGTCCATCCAGACCCGGGCCAGTCAGGCTTTGCAGGCTCCTGCAGGATATCCTGCAGCATCCTGCAGGATCCTGCACCCAAGCCCTGGTCGATGCAACCCAAGCTCTGCAGGATCCTGCAAAATCCGGCGCTCTGACTGACCCCCGTTTGCAGTGACCCCCGTCCCGTGAGCCCCGAAAAGACCATCCCTCGGCTGTGCTGGTTTCCTTCACGGTGGCTGCTGCTCCTCCTCCTCCTCCTCCTCCTCCTCCTCCTCCTCCTCTTCCTTCTTCTCCTCCTCCTCCTCCTTCTCCTCCTCCTCCTCCGTCTTCTCCTCCTCCTCCTCCTTCCTCCTCTCCTCCTCCTCCTCCACCTGCTCCCATCCCTCCCTCTCAGAGCAGGCGAGCGGCGCGCGGGGAAGCGCGCGGCGGGGGGGGAAGGCGCGCTCGAGGAGCATCTGAGCCACACCGTCCTCTCGGGGGGGCGGGCGACGTCGACGTCGACGTCGACGTCGACGTCGACGACGACGACGACGACGACGACGACTACTACATCCGACGACGACGACGACTACTACATCCGACGACGACGACGACGACGACGACGACGACGACGACTACTACATCCGACGACGACGACTACTACATCCGACGACGACGACGACGACGACGACGACGACGACTACTACATCCGACAACGACGACTACTCCATCCGACGACGACGACGACGACGACGACTACTACATCCGACGACGACGACGACGGTGGGCGCGGCAACGCTCTCCCCCGCCACTCCGACGCAGCCCTGCCAGTCCCTCGCCCCCCCGTCCCCCAGTCGCCTCGGAGGGGGCGCTGCCCGTGCGCACACGCCCGGGCGTCGAAGATCAACGGCTCACTTGCCGTCGCTCGGACGTCCATTTCCCGTGCATTGTTCGATTTCGTGCGTGTTTTTTTGGCTCGATGGTCCAGGATCGCCCTCAATGGTTCTCGCCGAGAAAACATGCACACGTCCGAGCGATGCCAGGTTGTCCCGCCTCGGGATACTCTCCAGCAGCCGCGCCTCGCCGAGGGCGTTCCGGGGGGTGCCCGAGTCGTCCTGAAAGGCCGCCGCACGGAAAACCAATGAACGACCCAAAAACCGCCCGAAGACCGCCCGAGACCCGGACATCTGGAGGCGTGTTTCGTTTTCAGTCTCAGCGTTTGATTGCAATCTCGACCTCTGGGGACCGTATGGGCCTCTCAGGATTTCAGAAGAGGACCCAGGACGAGGAAGTGCCCCCTGGGAAGGGGGAGGGGTCGGCAGCCCATGGGGCCGCGGACTGAAAAATTATCCCAGTGCGACCCTAATTCCCTAGGAGTTGAAGCCCCTAGGAAAGCTGCATTAGTAGTAACAGTAAAGCAAAGCTAAAGCTAAGTTAAAACTAAGCTAAAGCTAAGCTAAAGCTAAGCTAAATCTAAACTAAAGCTAAGCTAAGCTAAAGCTAAGCTAAAACTAAGCTGCAGCTAAAGCTAAAGCTAAGCTAAAGCTAAGCTAAAGCTATGGTAAAGCTAATCTGAATATAAGCTGAAGCTAAGCTAAAGCTAAGCTAAAGCTAAGCTAAAGCTAAGCTAAAGCTAAGCTGAAGTTAAGCTCAAGCTAAGATAAAGCTAAAGCTAAATCTAAGCTAACTATAAGCGAAAGCTAAGATAAAGCTAAGCTAAACATAAGCTAAATCTAAGCTAAAGCTAAGCTAAAGTTAAGCTAAAGCTAAACTAAGGCTAAGCTAAAGCTAAGCTAGAGCTAAGCCAAAACTAAGCTAAAGCTAAGCTAAAGCTAAAGCTAAAGCTAAAGATCAAGCTAAAGCTCCGAGGGGACTGGGGGAACCGCGGGACGGATACTGGGGGAACCGCCCGGGGCGGGCCCCACTGCCCGACCCCTTTAAGCTTACCGAGTAAGAACCCTTCTAGGCAGAGCCTAGGTAGGGAAAAACATTGCCGGATGTCTGGAGAGGAAGTGGGGCTCCACGATTGCTCCGAGGGGCTCCCAGAGCGCGACTGTATGCTGATACACATCCCCCGGGCCACGACTTGCTCAACTGGAAGCCACGACGAAGAGGGTACGCCACCGCCAGCACGCGAACCGGGCGAAGAACCGCCCCCGCCAGCGGTGGGTGAGACAAGCGTGGGGGGGGAACGGCGAGGGGGGGGAGGGAAATCAAAATCCAAGGGGGGAGGGGGAGTGAGGAGAGATGCAGGAGCGACACGATTAGAACAAAGGGTTCCGGCCGAAAATCCAAACCGCGTCCTTCCCCATGGTGGAACTTGGGAGGGGGGGGGGGGGCAATTTCTCTAACCGGGAGCCCACATCAAAAGCAATCCTGGCCCAAGGTGCCCCCAGCTCTTCGCTCGATTTTGAAACCCTGGAACTCTCTGAGCATCGTGAAGGGTGCTCTGGAAATCGCGGGGGCCTCCTTGGCCTTGGAGATCCCAGAGACACCCTGGGCCCGGGACACTTTTGGTAACACCCGAAGAAGGGGATTCTGATCACCCCCCCGCCACCGAAACCAATGCTGATTTCAAGCTGGGTGATGCTTTGGGGTTTGGTTATTCTTGTCCCCGCAAGCCCGCAACCGCATTCTCAACATCAACCTGGGGGTCCTGGGGGGTATCGCCCCGGGACCACGAAGTGCTTCCGCGCCCTGGGACACCGCCTCGGACAGCAAGGGGGCCGCCCCCCTCCTCACATTGTGCGCGGCGCGCAGCGAGCGCCCACCTGGCGAAGCCCTGCCTCGGCGAGGCCCCGTGGGGATCGACAGCCAGGAGCCGCCCCTGGTGGCCTCGGCAAGGCCGCGGGCCGCGCCCCTGAGGCACAACTGGAGAAACCAAAAGGTACCGATACCGGTACTCCCCAGACCTCCCCTGGGGTGCGCTCTGACTAGAACTTCGAGGCGAATCCAGCGGTGGCCAGGAGGGCCTCCCAGGAGGCCCAAAAAGAGGAAGACGAGGCAAAAATAACGATATCACTGCCTTTCCCTCATCCGGAGAACGTACGTCTGGTCCGTGTACCGTGCGCCCGCCTACCCCCCCCGCAGCGGCAGGGCCGGGCGCTCCCGACGAGCCCGCCGGTGCACACCGCGGGGTAAACCTCCCCGTCCTGGGCAGCGCCGCGGGAGCGCGGTGCGCGGCGGCGCAGCCCCCCCGACGGCGCGGCGCGCGGGCGGTTGTGCGGCTCGACGCGCGCGGGGCCCCAAGACCGCGCGTTGATTGACCGCGCGGTGACCTCGGAGCCCCAAGAGACCTCATCCAAAAGATTGTGTTGTCGAGCAAAAACGGGTCTTACGCGAGATGACACAGCGACCTTACGCCGCAGCTTACGTGGGCCGCCGGCGCGGCATGCTGCTTTGGCGACGAGGGCGCTTACGCGCGACCTTACGCGGGCAGCTTGCTCGCCAATGTCGGCGCGGACGACCCCATCTTTTTGCGTCGCTCGCCTGGACGACCGCGGCCTGAGCTCGCATCCCCGCTCTTGCCGCGGGGCAACTTCCTCACTCTGTATCTCGAGGAGGACGCAGGTGCACCGGACGAAGCTCACTTGCTGATTCTGACTGCAGGGCGCACCGTCGAATGCCTCGAGCGGCCGACGCAACGGCGGCGCACGCACTGCCAGCAATCGCTCCCGCGGGAGGCCTGCTCGGCCCGGAGGCCCAGCTGATGGATGCGCCGCTGCGGCGCCCCAATGCGCTTCCGCTCGAGCTCGGCAGCGCCCACCGGGCTGCTCGCGGAGGACGAGAGGCGAATCCCGCCCTCAAGAGTCATTCGGCTCGGAGGCCATGGCCGCTGGACGCGCCGCTGTGGCTCGTCTCGGGGCGCTTCCCGCTGAAGATGCGGCGCGCGCACCTGGCTATGTAGGGAGTATGACAGTGACGCACGTCTCTTTGGTAGTCACCAAACGTGGTGGTGACAACATCCAGCGGTGAGTCTCGGGCGATTTGGTGTCACCACCCGTTTGGGAAATCGTGTGTTTTTTCGAGGATGTTCCGAACGCTGGTGGGTCCAGGAATCACAAAACACGACGATGACCCCGTGTCCCAAAACCCGGCGGTGACTTTTTGGGGATTCCAGGTCACCACCTGATATCTCACCACCTGGTTTGTGGGCTCCCAAACCTCTGGAGCGGATGACAGCGTCAAAACGGAATCAACGCTGTAGGGCTGCCTCACTTCGTGCACGCGCACGCCCTGTGAGGAGATCCAGCTTGTCACAATTACCTCTGGACGACTTCAAGCAACCCTGTCAAGCCTCAAATGTGGAGATGTCCCACCCCTGGGACCAGAATTGCACAGGAGGGGAGTTACGGAGGATGGAAGAGAAGGGGAGAATCCGAGACCCTCGCGAAAGTTGCACGCCGAGATTTTCTCAGAGCGCTGGAGGCATGTGCGCCCCCCGCCGAAATCGGCACACCAATCTTTACTGGAGCGCTTTCTGACAAGGACTTCGAGGCGGATACAGCCGTGGCGATGAGGGCGAACCTGGAACCCCCAACAAGATAGAGGCTGTCGAGGTCCTCCTCATCTTCTTCCTGGGCAATGGCCCCGCGGAGGCGAATACTGGCAACACCTCCAGGCGCAGACTCTGCCTCGCGTCCCGCTCAGAACACCCGAACTACAACAACCGTGGCTCCACGCTGCTCCCGGGCAGGCTTTGCTGCCCAGAGGAGGGGGGAGAGGAGGGGGGAAGCAGGCAGACGACGTCGAACGCGCAGGCGGGAGGCCGAGGCTGGAAGCGCCAGCGGGGCCTCTCCTCCTCAGTCCCCCTTCTCCCTTCCACTGAGCCTGTCCCTGGACCCCTCCCATGCCGTTCTCCGAGTCGCGTCTAAGCCATGGAGGCGACATCCGCCAGAAACAACCAGGCACCTCTCAGACGACGAAGACGACGACGACGACCACGAACGCCAAGACCCAGACCAATACCACGCTGACATAAATTGTTTCCAATGTGTGGCCTCCGGACCTTTCGATCCCTTCCTGGGGCCAGCCGTTCATTCCCGATATTCTTCCCAGAGTCCAAGAAGGGCACCCGCAGGGCAAAACAGAAGGAAGCCGCCGACATAGGCGACGGCGACTGTTTTCCGCAGTGGTGAAAGAAAGACTGAGCTCCCCCGGATGTAGTAAACCATAAGGGGGAGGATTGTCGTTGGTCGCCTCTTGCTCTCTGGCCCTGCAAGAGGGTCTCATCCCCCGGGAGAGTGGAGGACTGCGCCGGAGAAGGGGAGGAAAGCCTCGGAACTACCTGAACCCAGACCCTAACTGGAAGGCAGGTTTGAG